TTAACACGAGTCTAGTGGTGGTGTTAACACGAGTCTAGTGGTGGTGTTAACACGAGTCTAGTGGTGGTGTTAACACGAGTCTAGTTGTGGTGTTAACACGAGTCTAGTGGTGGTGTTAACACGAGTCTAGTGGTGGTGTTAACACGAGTCTAGTGGTGGTGTTAGCACGAGTCTAGCTGTGGTGTTAACACGAGTCTAGTGGTGGTGTTAACACGAGTCTAGTGGTGGTGTTAACACGAGTCTAGTGGTGGTGTTAACACGAGTTTAGTGGTGGTGTTAACACGAGTCTAGTTGTGGTGTTAACACGAGTCTAGCTGTGGTGTTAACACGAGTCTAGTGGTGGTGTTAACACGAGTCTAGTTGTGGTGTTAACACGAGTCTAGTGGTGTTGTTAACACGAGTCTAGCTGTGGTGTTAACACGAGTCTAGTGGTGGTGTTAACACGAGTCTAGTGGTGGTGTTAACACGAGTCTAGTTGTGGTGTTAACACGAGTCTAGTTGTGGTGTTAACACGAGTCTAGTGGTGGTGTTAATACGAGTCTAGTTGTGGTGTTAACACGAGTCTATTGATGGTGTTAACACGAGTCTAGTGGTGGTGTTAACACGAGTCTAGTGGTGGTGTTAACACGAGTCTAGTGGTGGTGTTAACACGAGTCTAGTGGTGGTGTTAACACGAGTCTAGTTGTGGTGTTAACACGAGTCTAGTTGTGGTGTTAACACGAGTCTAGCGATGGTGTTAACACGAGTCTAGTTGTGGTGTTAACACGAGTCTAGTGGTGGTGTTAACACGAGTCTAGTTCTGGTGTTAACACGAGTCTAGCTGTGGTGTTAACACGAGTCTAGTGGTGGTGTTAACACGAGTCTAGTGGTGGTGTTAACACGAGTCTAGTGGTGGTGTTAACACGAGTCTAGTGGTGGTGTTAACACGAGTCTATTGATGGTGTTAACACGAGTCTAGTTGTGGTGTTAACACGAGTCTAGTGGTGGTGTTAACACGAGTCTAGTTGTGGTGTTAACACGAGTCTAGTGATGGTGTTAACACGAGTTTAGTTGTGGTGTTAACACGAGTCTAGTGGTGGTGTTAACACGAGTCTAGTTCTGGTGTTAACACGAGTCTAGCTGTGGTGTTAACACGAGTCTAGTGGTGGTGTTAACACGAGTCTAGTGGTGGTGTTAACACGAGTCTAGTTGTGGTGTTAACACGAGTCTAATGATGGTGTTCACACGAGTCTAGTGGTGGTGTTAACACGAGTCTAGCTGTGGTGTTAACACGAGTCTAGTGGTGGTGTTAACACGAGTCTAGTGGTGGTGTTAACACGAGTCTAGTAGTGGTGTTAACAGGAGTCTAGTTGTGGTGTTAACACGAGTCTAGTGGTGGTGTTAACACGAGTCTAGTTGTGGTTTTAACACGAGTCTAGTGGTGGTGTTAACACGAGTCTCGTGGTGGTGTTAACACGAGTCTAGCGGTGGTGTTAACACGAGTCTAGCTGTGGTGTTAACACGAGTCTAGTGGTGGTGTTAACACGAGTCTAGTTGTGGTGTTAACACGAGTCTAGTGGTGGTGTTAACACGAGTCTAGTTGTGGTGTTAACACGAGTCTAGTGGTGGTGTTAACACGAGTCTAGTTGTGGTGTTAACACGAGTCTAGTGTGGTGTTAACACGAGTCTAGTTGTGGTGTTAACACGAGTCTAGTTGTGGTGTTAACACGAGTCTAATGATGGTGTTAACACGAGTCTAGTGGTGGTGTTAACACGAGTCTAGCTGTGGTGTTAACACGAGTCTAGTGGTGGTGTTAACACGAGTCTAGTGGTGGTGTTAACACGAGTCTAGTAGTGGTGTTAACAGGAGTCTAGTTGTGGTGTTAACACGAGTCTAGTGGTGGTAGTTTAACACGAGTCTAGTAGTGGTGTTTAACACGAGTCTAGTTGTGGTGTTAACACGAGTCTAGTGGTGGTGTTAACACGAGTCATCGTGTGGTGTTACACGAGTCTAGCTGTGGTGTTAACACGAGTCTAGCTGTGGTGTTAACACGAGTCTAGTGGTGGTGTTAACACGAGTCTAGTTGTGGTGTTAACACGAGTCTAGTGGTGGTGTTAACACGAGTCTAGTGGTGGTGTTAACACGAGTCTAGTGGTGGTGTTAACACGAGTCTAGTTGTGGTGTTAACACGAGTCTAGTTGTGGTGTTAACACGAGTCTAGTGGTGGTGTTAACACGAGTCTAGTTGTGGTGTTAACACGAGTCTAACTGTGGTGTTAACACGAGTCTAGTTGTGGTGTTAACACGAGTCTAGTGGTGGTGTTAACACGAGTCTAGTGGTGGTGTTAACACGAGTCTAGTGGTGGTGTTAACACGAGTCTAGTTGTGGTGTTAACACGAGTCTAGTTGTGGTGTTAACACGAGTCTAGTGGTGGTGTTAACACGAGTCTAGTTGTGGTGTTAACACGAGTCTAACTGTGGTGTTAACACGAGTCTAGTAGTGGTGTTAACACGAGTCTAGTTGTGGTGTTAACACGAGTCTAGTAGTGGTGTTAACACGAGTCTAGTGGTGGTGTTAACACGAGTCTAGTGGTGGTGTTAACACGAGTCTAGTGGTGGTGTTAACACGAGTCTAGTTGTGGTGTTAACACGAGTCTAGTGGTGGTGTTAACACGAGTCTAGTGGTGGTGTTAACACGAGTCTAGTGGTGGTGTTAACACGAGTCTAATGGTGGTGTTTACACGAGTCTAGTGGTGGTGTTAACACGAGTCTAGTTGTGGTGTTAACACGAGTCTAGTTGTGTTAATAGGGGTCTAGTCTTAATGACACAGGCCTCAATGGTGGTCACGCAGGTTTAGTGGTGGTGGTGATGTTGATGACATGGGTTAAGTGGTGACTCGGGATTGTGTGGGGAATCGGGGTGAGTTGTGGTTACACGAGTTAAGTGGTGGTGGTGATAGGTTTGTGGTGGGAACATGGGTTTAATAATAGTGGAGGCGAAACGGGTTAGTGGTGGTAATACGGGATAGTGGTGGAGGTGACATGGGTTAGTGGCGGTAATATGGGTTTAATAATAGTGGTGGTAATGCGGGTTATTGGGTGTAACATCGGTTTAGTAATAGTGGTGGTGACATGGGTTAGTCCTGGTAACGTGGGTTATTGGTGTAGGTGGTATGGGTTAGTGCTGGTAACGCGGGTTAGTGGTGGTAATATGGGTTTAGTAATAGTCGTGGTGACACGGGTTAGTGGTGGAGGTGACACGGGTTAGTGGTGGAGGTGACACGGGTTAGTGGTGGAGGTGACACGGTTAGTGGTGGAGCTGACACGGGTTAGTGGTGGAGGTGACACGGGTTAGTATTGGTGATACGGGTTAGTGGAGGTAATGCGGGTTAGTGGTGTTAACATGGTTTTAGTAATAGTGGTGGTGACACGGGTTAGTGGTGAAGCTGACACGGGTTAGTGGTGGAGGCGACACGAGATAGTGGTGGAGGTGACACGGGTTAGTGGTGGAGGTGACACGGGTTCGTGGGGGAGGTGACACGGATTAGTGGTGGAGGTGACACGGGTTAGTGATGGAGGTGACACGGGTTAGTGGTGGAGGTGACACGGGTTCGTGGTGGAGGTGACACGGGTTAGTGGTGGAGGTGACACGGGTTAGTGATGGAGGTGACACGGGTTAGTGGTGGAGGTGACACGGGTTAGTGGTGGAGGTGACACGGGTTAGTGGTGGAGGTGACACGGTTAGTGGTGGTGGTGACACGGGTTAGTGGTGGAGGTGACACGGGTTAGTGATGGAGGTGACACGGGTTAGTGGTGGAGGTGACACGGGTTCGTGGTGGAGGTGACACGGGTTAGTGGTGGAGGTGACACGGGTTAGTGATGGAGGTGACACGGGTTAGTGGTGGAGGTGACACGGGTTAGTGGTGGAGGTGACACGGGTTAGTGGTGGAGGTGACACGGGTTCGTGGTGGAGGTGACACGGGTTAGTGGTGGAGGTGACACGGGTTAGTGGTGGTGGTGACACGAGATAGTGGTGGAGGTGACACGGGTTAGTGGTGGTGGTGACACGGGTTCGTGGTGGTGACACGGGTTAGTGGTGGTGACACGGGTTAGTGGTGGAGGTGGCACGGGTTCGTGGTGGAGGTGACACGGGTTCGTGGTGGTGACACGGGTTAGTGGTGGAGGTGACACGGGTTAGTGGTGGAGGTGACACGGGTTAGTGGTGGTGGTAATGCGGGTTAGTGGTGGAGGTGACACGGGTTAGTGGTGGAGGTCACGCGGCTGTGAGCTGCCCAGGACAACAACAAAGTTTCGCACGGGGCTGTGAACGGGGCTGTGACGTCTGAATGGGACAGGCGAGTCACGTGGGAGCGCGCTGCCGTATCGGGCGCGGCGACTGCTTCCCATGCTGCTGACACTTGAGACGGAGTTAAATCGTTTTGAACATCTTTAATGCCTCGTACACAAGTCCGTGGCACACGTGGCCAGGGTCAACACACGAACGAACGATCAAGACACGCCATTGCACATGAATACCACCACCACCGCCACCACTCCGAATACAACACACGCGGTGCACACACACGCGCACATTGCGTGTAACGCACGTGCACACACACGCGGTGCACACACACGCGCACATTGCGTGTAACGCACGTGCACACACACGCGTGTACGCAGCCCTCCTAGGACACCTCTACACGCGGCCTTCAGGACATCTCACGCAACGTGTACAAACACACTCCCATCCCCTCCCCCGATAAGCACACGCGCGCGTGTGCACATCCCGTGCGTGTGTGCACGGACGTCGGCGTGCGGTCTAGACAAAGACAAAGATCCCCCAGTGTAGCCTTAACAGACTGTAAGGTCAAGTGCTGTTAGCGAGCATACCTATGAAGGCCGGAACGGTACACGAGGGGGTGGGTGGCCAGCACCACGCCCGACCGCCTTTGTCTCCCTAGTGATGATGTTTACACACCGCATCAGGTTACTCATTTGAGGCTGAGTCGACCTAGGGGAGGCCCAAGCCCGGTTCGAGTAATCGTCGCTGGGTGTTGGCCGTGAGCGGGAATCGAACCCGGGTCGCCGGGTTCATAGCGCAGCGCGCTAACCGCTACACTACCGCTCCCCTAGACACGCGCGCGTACGCACAGACGCGCACCGTTTCACGTGTAACGCGCTGCCTCGAACCCCCCGTACCCCGCCCCTGCTCCGCCTCTGTTCCCCTCGCTCCTACCCGTCCCGGACCGATCGCATCCTCTCCGCCGCGCGACGAGCGCACAGAGCGAGAGAGAATAGAGAGAGAAGAGAGAGAAGAGAGAGAGACGGAGAGAGCCGGGGGCTTCCTCCACGGTGTTCACGACCGCGCCACGCCGGACCCGCGAGCATCATCATCTCCTCCTCCTCTTCCTCCTCCGCCTCCAGCCGCATCAGCAACGGCCGCAGCTTGTACCCCGGTAAGTGGCAAGCAAGCGGAGGTCCTCCTCTGGGTAGCCGTGCCCCACTTGCTCCGGGAGCTTGCACGGCCGCGCTGCGTTATCGTTGGTGGCTGATGTTGGTTGTGGTTGCTGCTGCCGCTGCTGTTGTTGTTGCTGCTGCCGCTGCTGCTGCTGTTGCGAGGACTCAATCAGATACCGGTCGGCTGTGTGGGGATGGGTACAGCAGGCGGGCAAGGCGATGGGGAGAGCCGGCTTCTCCCTGCGAGTGTGAGTGAGTGATCCAGAGGTTCGGAGCGATTGTGAGTGAGTGCGGTTGTCCGCGATGGGTGAATTGGGTGCGAGTTGGAGAGGGCGCGTGTGATTGAGAGTTAAGTAGAGTGGGTGAATTAGCGTGAGCGAGTGTGAGTGACTTTGAGTGTCGGTGAAGGTGAGAGTGCGAATGAGCGTGTGTCTATGAAGGTGTGAATGGGTAAGTGTGAGTGAGTGTGCGTGCGTGTCTATGAGTGCAGTGTGTGTGTGTCGAGGTGAGTGTACGAGTGAGTGTATCACGCGTGAGTGTGGATCGGTTTCTGTGTGTGTTCGTAAGTGAATGTCTGAGTCAGTGACTGCTGGTGTCATTGAATGAGTCAGTGATTGAGTGTGTCTCTACGTGTGTGTATGATTGATTAAATGTGTGTGTGTATGTATGTGTCATCCGTGTATCTCTGTTCGTGTGAATGTCCTCTGTGTGTGAGAATATTTCAGTGTGAGTTGCGTCTGTGTGTGCATTAGTGTGTGTTTATTGGTGTTTGGATTATTCTCTGTATTCGTGTAAGTAACATCTGTGTGTGTGTATGTACGTGTGTAAGTGGATCTGTGCCTGTGTGGTGTGCTTTTGGCTGTGTGTGCTAGATTGTATCTATTTATATGTGTGTGTCACCTTTATCAGTGTGTGTGATTTAGTGTGTCAGTATGTTTGTTATTGTGTGTATGTGTGTGTGTGTTGGAACGGTAGTGTAGTGGTTAGCGCACTGCGCTACAAACCCCGGCGACCAGAGTTCGATTCACGCTCACGGCCAATAACAGTGGCGAATAATTGAACCGGTCCTAGGCCTCCTCTAAGTCGACTCAGCCTCCAATGAGTACCTGGTGTGGTGTGTAAACATCACCACTGGGGAGACAAAGGCGGCCGGGCGTGGTGTTGGCCACCCAACCCTTTTATGCCGTTCCTGCCATCATAGGTGTTCGCTAACAGCACTTGCCCAAAGCGTCTGCTCAGGCTATGCATTTTGCATTTGTGAGTGTGTGCGTGTCTGTAACGGTGTGCTCATGCTTGTTTGAGTTCTGTTTGTTTGCGTTTGTGACAATGTGTCAATGATAATGATGAAAGTGTGTTGATATAATGAGTTCTTCATTGTGCGGTTACACATTTCCACGCTGCTGCTACTTGGTGTTTGAGGAGTGTGAGTGGTAATGGAGTAGGATCTTAGTGGCGGAGGTGCCGTCCCTTACACAAGAAGCCACAAGGAGCGTCTTGGCTCCAGTCTGAGCACAAACACAGCCCCAGTCGCTTACCATGCCCACCTGCCACGTATGCAAATGATCCACTCTGCAGATTACTAATTGGCAATCATTACGGGAAGTAAAAGTTTTGGTGCACATTAAGCAACATTCATTACAAACATTGATCTTCAGTCAGAACAAATAACGTCTGGCAAGTGTGCATGCTATTATTTCATCTGTAAAGCACGATTTTAATTATGTTAAAGCATTATTCCAATATGTTATATTTCTATATGGTGTTTCATAACTGTCATATGTATTAATGCGAGCGGCAGGTATTTAATACATTAAGAAAGTTTGGTTGAACAATGTTCCATATTTATAATTAGTTAAAACGCTCACGCGTGCGTGATCACTCCACGTAATGAGAACTATCCGAAGCTTCTGAGAAAAGGGAAGGCTTCGGCTTCCAAAACGCTTGAGGAAATGTGTTCACCCATATCTTTTTTTTATTTTAAACACAAAGCAAACACGTTCTGGTGTGCCATTACCCAAATTGTTCTCAACAGCTGACACCTGTTATACTACCGATGACAAAAACAAGAGGCCTGGCATTGCATTTTGGTCAAAACTGGTTCCCAATGACTTCGTATTGAATGGAATAAGTTTGCCATCGGGCAGATATAACGTCGTGTATGAGCGCACCTTGTAAAGGCCACGCTAACACGGTGAGAGCGACAGCAGCAGTGGCCGAAGTGTACTCGTGAGCTGCACAGTTTGAACAACAACAACAACAACACCCATCGTCGTGGTACGCACTGAGTTACGGGCCCTCAGCTCGCAGAGGGCCTCGCTCAGCCTCGGCACGCATTTGAAGGCCGAGTTTGTGATGCAACACTCAGTTAATTATCAACATGCCCAGCAGCAACATTTTCTCACTGGGCCTCTTTCACAATTGCCCAACTGTTCGCAAATTAGATTTGACTTGCTAATGACGGGCTCTCGTCTGAACAATGCCACTGTGGTTCTCTGGAAACGGGCCGCGGAGTTAAACCAGAGTGGGGCAATAAGCTCGCCATGTTATCACGGGTCGAAATCCTCCTCCTCTTGACGAACCTGGGCTGGTCAACTCCGGTTTGCGAGGTGGATTGTCGTTCCACACCACCGGAGCGCATTGATGCTGCACTTTAACGTTGCTGCTGCACTTTGACATCACCGTTGCACGCCGCTGCACATTTCACCTTGGTCACATTGGCTGCTGCTGTTGCAGCAGCAGCAGCAGCGGACTGCTGCGTCTCTGGCCACGAGGTTTTTCTGGAGCTGGCAGCCGGTGTGCCGGTGGGGAGCAAGCCTTGAGTGTCGACAGTTAGTCTCTCCATGTAGGCGTGAGGCGATAATGGGATTAGGTTCAGATTTAGTTGCAAAGATGATGCAGTAAGATCTTTTTTTTGGGGGGGGGGGGGAAATCAATTTTCCCAACTAAAGTGCATTATGCCACAGTGCATTAATGTATTAGCCGTGGTCATAAAAGTGTTGTGAAATCCAAGATGTTTTTAATAACACGCCGGCGGTGTGATTACGGTGGCTTGCCACTTTCGTGTGGGATTCATGCACCGGTCCGGTCTCGGCCGTGCGGCGTAAGACATCTCGAGTGTGGACAACGCGCACCGCCGTGTTGACGGGGGCCCTTGCATCTTAACGCTCATCGCGTGGGCAAATATAAACGGCGCAAAGATGCCTATTACCGTTTTGTTTGGTGAAAGAAGGCGCTAATGAGCTCGTTTTAACAACATGCTCCTGTATGTGAACGCGTTACCTCTAATTCAGGGCAAGCCGTGTGTTCACGCACTCGCAATCACTGCTCAGTATTTGATGTGCCAGTACAATTTTAATTATTATTAATCGGTCGTTAGGCTATACGGCACCCTAATATGGTAATGATGATCACTATTACTGCAGGTGACAGATATAGCCTGTGCTAATTTCTGTGATAAATTACACATTTCTCAGAGAGGAGGAGGAAGTCTGCGGTAAGGCTGGCTCTTTGCTTCTTGCTCAAAGTGTGCTCACGCCGAGGTGTACAAGGGGTTACTCTGATCGGTGTGTGGCTCTTTGCGCCCCAACCATTTTCCACATGCGCACAAATTATCCTGATGGCAGGTACCCCGGGGTACCAGATAATACAACTAGGCCGAGGCAATTAAATATTTTATTTCTGGGACACTATTTTTGTCCAGGGGTGTACTTCACTCCGCGACTGGGGTACCAATCAATCCGACATCAGTGCTACTCCTCAATGTTGAAACGCAGCGAGGATGATTGCGCCGAAACCCTGAACGCTCGTACGCACCGTGGCGGTGCATCGTGTACAGCTCGTCGAGATGAGTCGACTGCCGCATCGCCGACCATCAACAGACTAAAAATGACTGCATCACGGACATTGTGCGAGAGCCGTGGTACTATGGTACCCTGGGATACCGCCATAAGGTTCAAATGTCAGGTGAAGTCTGTGCATCCCCAGCCGAGATAAACTTCCGCTGATGATGAGGAGGAGTCTTATTGTGCGTGCGAATCTTTCTATATGTTTGTTAGTACCAATGATATGAAACATTGTATGCCGTTTGTGCATTGGTTTATACCAGCGGCTAAGATAATGTGGGGAACATACATTTCGTGATATGACATATTTGACTTGTATTTCAGAATCAGAATATTTATTTCTACTGAAGGAATCCGATGAGCTATAAAGCTCTTTTTTTACAGATGTTGAAGTCGAGTGTCAATATATTAAGCACTCAAGAGACTTATCACACTCGCTGCATAAGGACAAAGAAGAATAACTCTGTATTCTAATTGTGGCCGTTTTACAAAAAGTTTTGACCCTTACTCACGCAGTTTCTGTATGCATACAGTAACACTGCGGTGTTTCGGAAGCTTATTTAGTGACGATGCAAAGGTTAATGAGATTGCTGAAAGGTGAAACATGAAGTATTTTCCAATGAACACGAGAGAGTGAGTCAAAATGTTGGCACAAGGGCCCTTCCCAAGAGAGTCTTATGCACGACCGTGTTATCATTTATTCATCGTTAATGTAACTATACATACACACTGTACTCCACTGTGGCAGGGAATCAAACTCAGGTCGTCGGGTTCGTAGTGCAGGGCGGAAACCACTTTTGCTGCAGCTCCCCCATTTGTATGTACATGTATGTTCTACGTGTGTTGAACTTCTTTCGCACCGTACATCGCCAACCGTGCTAAAAAGTGACCGGCGTAGGATGTTGTGTGTGGTGTGCGAGGACCGTGAGGGTTGTGGAGTGGTGATGTGGCAGTGCCCGTGATGCCGAAGAGTGCTGGGTGGGTGGGTGTGTCGGAGGCACCTCCTGTGACTTTCAGTTTTAAATAAGTTTCCCTCTCGTGTCCAGCGTGGGGTTGTTGGAGCAAAGAGGGAGAGCAGAGATCGTCGCCTGCAAGGTGCTGGCGTAGCCAAGATAACGAGTCACTCGAGTGCGTCACAAACATCATTCCTCACGACG